TCCATCCAACTGAGCACCTTACTACGTGGTCTACTCTGGATGTTCAAAAGGGCCACGTGGGAGATAACGGTGGAGCAGCGAATTGGCAGCTGTGACAGAAGCTAGCGACAGAACACAGGCATCCAACGTGTAAGAATAATGTGAGAGGGTGGTAACTGCAGACTGACTCGGTTTAGCAAAAGGTTGTTAGTTTGGATCCCCCTCACCCACCACAGCACACCTCAGATGGGAAGCCACCTTACCCCAAAGGACCATTTACCATGTGCTTTGCTTTCCAGCCCCACCAAACGCACCCAGCAGCTAATCAAACACATCTATAGCAAATTCTGACAGTGCTGCTTACTGTTCTCAGTAACATTTCACAAATCTACCAGAAATGTAAGCCAGAGTCTCCCCTTGGGTTAGGTAATGAGGCTGACACTCCAGAGTTACTGCGGCCATGGTGGTCTACAGATCATAAAAGCCAACTATGCCTTTTTCAAACCTGCCTCTAAAAGACTTTTCTTTTTAAACTATTTCAGTTTGCCTAATAAAAGATTTTCTTCAAATTAACTCCTCTAAAAGCAGTTCTGATATTTACTCCTTTAAAAAACTGGTACACTTTGCACTCAAAGGTCTACAGTAAGCGAAAAGGAAGACACAGCCTACTCTGTCTGAAGAGAGCTGACAAGGTTTCTCACACCAAGTGAGATTACATTCACAGCAGTGTTAGTGTTTATTCTCTGTTACTATCCCACCATAAACATAAATATGAAATAATTTCAACCAAGTCATTCAGGTCCATATTTATTAGTAAGCCTGTACACTGTCAATACTCATGATGATGCCTGAAAGAAAGAACACTAATAGAACACAGTCTTCATGTTTCAGATGCAAATTACTTCAAGATGTTCCCAATTAACATCAATATCCCAGACTAGCTTATAGAAAAAATAAAAACCAAACATTGGGGTTCACAGTCCAACTCTACAGGAGGAATCACTTGGGGTCGCCGAACAGGGTGCATCACTCTGACGCAGAAAGACAAGTGTTTAATTAGAGTTCCCAGGAGACAGTCTCTCTTACAAGCCCAGTTTGGTCCTTCTCCAGTGTCTCCTTTTGGAGTTGTACCTAAAACAAAAGCAGTGGAAATTAGCAAAGTGCACACACACACACACACATTTTGAGGATCCAGGCAGACTGAAACCGCCTGGAATTAGCTCAACAGTAAACGGCTGACAGCTTTTTACACACTACAGTGGCAAACTGCCAGCAACACTCAGCTGTGTACTCATCGTTTAAAGCTGCCATCTCTCTTTGCTTTCTTCATTCACTAACCAACCACCACGCTGCTGCACCAGAACCTAAACCTCCAAGAGCTAAAGATCCCTGAAGAAATGCATCAGCACGGGCCTGTGAATATCCTACTGCCTCTTTTGGAGACAAGACTTGTGATCTTGTATTGACTGTCCAACAATAATGAAAAATACCTCTGGATTTTGGTTAATAAACTAACACAAAAGTTATCATTTATGTTCAAATTATGAAAGCAGAGCAGCATATGGAAGAGACCCTCTTCCAGGAAAGTATATTCATTTGTGAGGAGGGACTTGTACATGTTAAGAACAAATGGTTTCACCACTATATGGGTGAAACCGAAGATGGTGTTAACAGAATTACTCTCAGCAGGGAAATGGCAGTACTCCCACAGAATGAAGCACTGTAATTGCAGCCTGCTTTAGCACACAGCTTGGATAAAACCATCACTGAGGCACTGAAATGCCACAAGACAAATTCATTATTTTGCCCCATGATAAAGCGTTCCAAACCACTGGAACTTAGCTAAAATAGAACCCCGTTGTCAGTCGGTATCTGGAAGACAAGGATACAGTTTGAGGCACACAACAATGATTCTTCCTAGAAAGAAGCAAGTTAGGAGAAGCCACAGGAACAGAACCTGGCAATTCTGTGCCATTTTACTGCCTGAGCCAGCCACTGCGATGGTCACTCTCCTCACTGCTTAGGGACAAAAAACGATCTGGAGTAAAAAATCCTGTTCCCAAAAGAAGTCTGAACAGGGGAGCATCTGAGATAAAGAAACAGCTGCACAGTGCGAGTGGTTGAACTATATTGGCTGAAGCTTTTAAACCAGAGGGCTCAGACATGCACCCTCTCTGCATGCCCGACACTCACCCAGCATCCTGCAGTGATCTCACTGCATTTCCCTAACACAATGCTTGGGAATAAACACAACAGGCAAACAAAAAGGAACTGTTACCAGTTATTTCTGCAGTCGTGTGTCAAGGATCAATTTTATCTCCCGCACACCCAAGCAGCCCTTTGCTCCCCTACACACGATCTCCTGTACCTCGGATCACCCACGCTCAGTAAGGTACTGCTCCCTGAAAACACGGGAACTCGGTGGGACAGCTGAGAAAGGGGAGAGGTGTGGGAAGGGGAAGGTCAGAGACAGGGGTTACCGGGCTGACATTCTGGAGGAAGTCACCACACCTACAGTTCAGGCTCTGTGTTTCAACGTGCCATCAGCTAATACCGGTGGATATTTGCAGAGCACCGGAATGAACTGAACTGCAACAGGAGGAAACGGCAGGAAGACCCACATGGCCTGACGGAAACACAAGGGGCCGCTGGTACCCACCCGCTGGAGCTGTGGGTCTGCGCTTGAACGCTCGGCTGGTACCCAGAGCCACAACGCTGCACTTCTGCTCATGTAAACCCCTCCGCACCAGCAGCCCGCACCGCCCGGGTGGCGTGATG